TGGGAACATTACCCCAAGATTTTAGCCTTCTAGAGTCACAGGTCCCGGAATTATGAACTTACCTGGAAAGAAATTTGGCAAGCCCGTACGCGAGTACCACTCTCCCCCGGGAGTAGGACTTGGACTCACTAGTACCTACTTGCACGGGGAACATTTCCCGAAGATTTCAGCCTTCCAGCAACACAGATCCCCGAGTTATGAAAAAACCTGAGAACAAATAATGCGGGCTCGCACGCGAGTACTACGCTCAGGGGGTAGGGCTTAAGCTCTCTAGTACCTACTTGGACGGAGAACATTACCCGAAGGTTTCAGCCTTCTAGCGTCACAGGTCCCCGAATTATGAACTTTCCTGAGAACAAATTTGGCGGGCTCGCACGCGAGTACCACGCTCACCTGGGTTTAGGATTTGAGCTCACTTGTACCTATTTGGACGGGGAACATTACCCCAAGATTTCCGTTCTCCAGGATCTCAAATCCCCGAGTCACGAACCTGCCCGGAAAAGAATTTGGAGCACCCGTACGCAAGTATCACGCTTACCCGAGGGTGGGGTTTGAGCTCACAAGTACCCACTTGGACAGGGAGCATTACCTTAAGGTTTCAGGCTTCTAGCATCTCAGAGCCCTGAGTTATGAACTTACCGGGAAAAAATCTGGCGGGCTCGTACGCGGGTACCACGGGTTTGAGCTGATCAGTGCCTATTTGGACGGGGAACATCCCCTTAAGATTTCAACTTTCTAGCATCTCAGATCCCCGAGTTGTGAGCTTACTCGGTAAAGATTTGGGGGCTCATACGCGGTACCACACGTACCTGGGGGTTCGGTTTGAGCCCGTTAGTTTCTAGTTGAACGGAGAACCCTCCCTTAAGATTTCGGCCTTCTAGGGTCTCAGATCTCCGAGTTGTGAACTTAGCCGCAAGAAACTTTGGCGGGCTTGTATGCGGGTAACAAGCTCACCCGGAGGTTGGTTTGGAGCTCGTTGGGACTAATGTGGACGGGGAACATCCTCTTAATATTGCAATCTTCTGGCTTTTCAGTTCTCGGAAAATTTATCAACTTATTCAAAAAAAATTTCGCGGGCACGTACGTGGGTGCCACGCTTTCCCGGAGCTTTGTTTGAGCTCATTGATATCTACTTGGCGGGGAACACCCCCTTAAAATTTCAGCTTTCTAGCTTCTCAGATCTCCAGGTTATCAGCTTACCCGTAAAAAATTTTGGAGGGCTCTTACGTGAGTACCACGCACGAGAGACCGCCCATTTTGGAGATAGGGGCCCGTGCGTACATGTTGATTAAGTCCCCAAGGTTTCAACTCTGTAGCTTTTGTGGGTCTTGAGATGAAAGATCGGTACAGAGGCCCTGCGCACACACAGACACACACACACACACACACGCAGAAAC